TACGAAGACCTCCTCACTGCACCTCACGCCCCTACGTCAGTCACCCTGCGGACTATTCTCAACTTCACAGCCACCAGGACAACCTTGACGAAAACCACCGTCCTCCCTCTGTTGCTCAGAGGAAAAGCCACAGGCTTTACAAGGACCTGTCTGTCCAATACCATCTCTCTCATCTCCTCTCCTAGGACACTTTTGATCATCCTGGAACACGACCAGAGCAGCACTGGCTGTCCCCTTTACCAGAAGTGGTCTTTCCCACACAGCTCCAGGCTCCTCTCTGACCTCCTTCAAGCCTCTGCTTAAATGCCACCCTCTCCACGAACGCTTCCATGCCCAGCTTCTCTGAAATTCCAACTCGCCTCTCCAGCCACGACCCTGCTCCACGTTTTCCGCTCTAACGTTTTCAAAATTCTGCCATTCTTATTTCGTTTTTTAAAATGAATTATTTATCTTCCTCCAAAAGGTGGTGGACCTCTCTAAGGACAAAGGTGTTTTGCTGTTTGATTCACTTATCAGGGTCACTAGTGCCCAGATCGGTGCCTGACGCACGGCAGACACTTGGTAAATACTGTAGAATGAACTAATATCATAAGAGTGTCCTGTTTCTACCTGTGCCTTCCCACAATCTCTGCATGCATTTGACATTCATTTCTCTCAGAACTGTACCTGTATTTGTAATTAATGTAGAGATCTTTTCATTAAAAGCTTTGTGGGGAAATAGTATTTTGTTTTAATTTTTTTTAACGTTTATTTATTTTTGAGACAGAGAGAGACAGAGCATGAATGGGGGAGGGGCAGAGAGAGAGGGAGGCACAGAATCGGAAGCAGGCTCCAGGTTCTGAGCCGTCAGCCCAGAGCCCGACGCGGGGCTCGAACTCGCGGACCTCGAGATCGTGACCTGAGCTGAAGTCGGACACTTAACCGACTGAGCCACCCAGGCGCCCCCAGGGGGGAAATAGTATTAATACCATCTGCGTTCATTCTTTGCATACTTTTCATTCATTGCATTCTTTTCATACTTCAATCGTGTGGGATGGTTGGTGATATAGTCCATGTAGAACCGAACATTTCTGTAAATAGTTTGATAGCCCCAAAATCCTACAGTAGTTACAGAATATCCATAATGTGTGGCCGGATTCAAAATACTTATGGTTCCAAAACCACATCGGAATAACAGGAGGTACAGGACTGCATAGATACCAAGCAACTTATCATTAACTTTTCTTTTCAATAGCTGGTCAGATTTGCACCTGCTCTACTACCTCTCGTTGAGAAAAACAGCATTTGGAAAGAGGAAACTGCCGTTCCTCAAAGCTGAGTTTGGCTGAGAGAGTGAGTAGAGTTTACATTCCATTGTCGGCTAGATCCTTACCCCATGGAATGTCTGAGAACAGAATTCAGGCCATGAAGAGGTCGGCAGTGCTTTGATCCAACAGAACCTCAAGAAATTAAACACTATACATGGACTTATACGTTATCTATGTCACTTACACATAATACACGAGTTTTCCAAATTCTCCTTCCGCTCACAGCTGCCCGGTTGAAGGCGCTTGAGGGGAAAAATTCACCCCCAAGCATAACTTCCAAACTAGGCACCCATTACCCTGTGTGTCTAATTTATTTCCTTACGCACTCATCGCTCCCTCTGTGGTGAAGAGTGAGCAAGGGAAATGTGTGACACTATTGACAACAGCCCTACCTCGGTATCTGCACGCACGTGGGAGAATGGAAGGCTCGGGGCCAAGATTCTGCCGTGCCGTGGATTAAGGGTCCCACACTTGCAGAACCAGCTGATCAAACCGAAGCCCTACCGGGTCTGAATCCTTCCATGCTGAAGGGCTGTGAGTACACAGACCTGCACAATCGGAGCATCCACAAGCACCAGTGAGGTCAGAACAGCCCTCGCTGTCTGCTTAGGTGTCCAGGTGCCTCCACTCCCCCTGCCCCCCTCCACGGATCTTGAGATCCACGGATCTGGTCTGAGACCAGGCCAGGGAATCTGCTTTCTGTGACACCTCGGGAGATACAAACGCAGGCCACGCTTTGAGAAACACCATCTTTTTTTTTTTTTAATTTTTTTTAACGTTTTTATTTATTTTTGCGACAGAGAGAGACAGAGCATGAATGGGGAGGGGCAGAGAGAGAGAGGGAGACACAGAATCGGAAGCAGGCTCCAGGCTCTGAGCCATCAGCCCAGAGCCTGACGCGGGGCTCGGGCTCACGGACCGCGAGATCGTGACCTGGCTGAAGTCGGACGCTTAACCGACTGCGCCACCCAGGCGCCCCAGAAACACCATCTTTAAACCTTCACGGGGCTACTTAACAGCCTCTCATTCAGTAAATTCTCAAAAAAAAAAAAAAAAAAGCCAAAACCAAAACCAAAATCAAACCCCAAACCACCTGACTTTGCCTTCACAATTTTCAATCCATTTATCCACAGGGAGCCCCTTCCAGTTGCTGATCTGGCTTCTTCTATCTCATTAGGAAAAGCTTCAGGCAGGCTAACCTGATCTCAACCAAGATTTTGGGGGGGGGGGGGTGATGAATTTAAAAAGAGAAAAATGATTCAGCAGCCACATGGGCTGTGAGAAGCAAGGACCATTTCGTCCTCCAGAGGATTTCATTTCCAGCTGATGAAGCATCAGCACCGCCAGTCCAGTCGTGGGTGTCAGAACACGGAGTTATCAACTACACCCAGGTTAGAGAGTGAGAACAGCAAGAGGCGCCACAGGCCCAGCTCCCTCCGGCCGCTCCCAACATCTCCTTGGAAGGGAGAGGCGGTTCACACAAGGTGACAGGGATGGCCGTGGAGCCGCTTGGCACAGGCCAGCCTCCACTTAACGAGCGCTCAGAATCACACTCAGCATGGAGAAATTCACCCTGACCCTGGACACTTGCCCCCTGGCACCCACTCACTTACATTTTTACTCAATTACTATTTCTAAGAACAGAGACAAAAAAAAAAAAAAAAAAAAAAATGCAGAGCCCCACTGCTCAGCGGTCTTCTATGGAAGGTCTGAAAGGGGTCCGCAGGCTCTTCCCACAGGCCTGGAGGCCGGGGGCGGGGTGACAGAGCCTCCCACTGTACGGGAATCTACATGGGGCTGGTGCCCTATCTCTCCTTTCCACACCCTCGGAGACACTCCTGATCTTCCCAGACTCGCTGAAGAGCAGGGTGGGTTTCCAGTGTTTTTTTTTTTTTTTTTCACCAAAGAAAGAAGGAAGCTTGTAGCAATTAAATGACCAAAAATAACCCCAAGTGAGGAGTGTCTGAGAGGAAAAACCACACAAGGAAGCAGAGTGGGGCTCTCAACACGTTTACTAGGGGAAGAAAAGCGGACAAGGAAACGAATCCAAAGTGGTCACCGAGAAAGTGATAAAAATGAAGGGGACGAGATTTCAAAGGGGACGCAAAAAGGAGGCAGGAAAGTGTGGGAGCTCCGTGGCCTGGTGGAGGGCACGGAGGCCAGACCTGAATTCAGATCCTGGCTTTGCCTGTGCTGTGCCCGAGGACAGGGTCTTTCCCTGTCCAAGCCACGGTCTCCTGACACGTGGGGATCGTCATCCAGGCCGTGCCCAACCCACCGACACGGGGAAGGGGTCAGGATGACGCCTCTTAAGTGCCAGGGACACGGGAGGGAGTCAACAAATGTTTTCCTCCTCTCATTCCATCCTCCCTTTCCTTTTCCAAAAAGCTAGTGGGACAAACACCAGATAATTAACTCTTCTTGGTTTGGACAGTGAAATGAAATACAAATTGTGGATTGAAAACAACATATAATCTGTCTCACAAAAGGGAAATCTAAAAGCATGGATTAAACTTTTCACTCTTTCCACATGGCAGTTCTTAGCCACTTCAGTTCATGAAAATAAATGTATCGTCTCAGTAGAATCAGTTCTTTTTGAGGAAACCCGGCCTAGCCCATTGGAAATAAACTACTTTAATCCTTCATTCCTTGATTCCTAAGAAGCAAGGTTGGGCATGGTACATTGCAGAGGAGGATATACCAGTGAATCAGGTATCTACCAGGGTAATAAAAACATTTCTTTTGTCCCTATCCGGGACCTCCGCCCACATTTAGCACCAATATCATCCAAACCTTCTTGGGGTCTCAAAAATGCAAGTGAACCAATGCCAGGATTGCAAATTCATTTCATTTCTTCCTGAACATGGATCAGGGGCAACTTCGGACCCCTGAGTTCTTGAATACCTCAGGATCATCTGAGTCCTATTTTGCTGTGGTCTCCCTGCTCGGCATACAGTAGGCACTCAATAAAGGCTGGCTGAATTGATTACCGTTTCGAATCAGAAAGCACTGAGACCGCTGGCTTCAGTGCCCCTCGGCCTCGCACGTGGTACTGGCTCTGAGGGGTGTGCGCTTGTGCTGAGGGTCAGGGCTGAGTGGCCAGCTCCCACGTCCAGTCGGCCAAAGGCCTGACCCATGACAATCCACTCTCAGGCAACCCACAAATGACACCATGAAGGTCACAGATAATGGCAACTTTCCCCTAGGCTTCCCTATGAAGAAGAAAAGTTCCTTCTTCCCCTTCCGTCGAGTACAAGAAACATTAATTGAGCAACTACTGTATGCCGGGCAGAAGAACATAGATGCAAAAAAGATAACAAACAAATGACACTTGACGTTTTGGCCATGCTGTTCAACCCCTCAGAAAGCATCCTCCATGGGTCGGGGGGGGGGTGGTGTCGCAGATCCGTCTTTCGGATCACTATGCCACCCCCCGGGACACACATGTCATATACCCACAATCCGTTCTTTCACATACAACAATTAAGTCATCAGTTACTGCAAAGCTGTTCACAACTTTTTCTCAGGTAAACTGTGACTGACACTTCGGGGCGCCTTTGTGACTATTCAGCAACAAGGCTGCACTTCAGAATTCTATCTTGCCTCCGACAAGTTCCCCACAGGAGACACACACGAAAGATGGACTGGATGTCACTACATCAAATGAGGTATAAAGCAGACAAGTATACTCACCAAGGTACCCACAGAGCACCTGGGAATGTCTGGAACACAAGCTGCCCACTGAGCCAGAGGGTGTTGTAACAACTGGGCAGACAGCTAGGAGTTTTAAAAAGCACAGTCATTAGCTATTTTACTGAGGAGACGCCTCGCACAGAGCTATACAAAGATTCAAAGTCCAAGGGGCCTCTCTGAACATACTTATTCCCCCACATACATAAGGTCCCTGCTACTCAGGGACCAAGGAGTTACGAGGGATTCTGGATTCTGGTCCCAGATCTGTTGATCTCTTAACCACCAGCCACGCTCCTGAATTCCGTTTTCCCTTTAACACTTAGCTCTAGTGTCAAAATAACAATGCACAATTTATATACGGAAATGGTAAAATAAATACCGTGACTTATATTAAAGATGAACAGGAAGGGCCTTGACCTCCTTTGACAAAAGACAGCCTACCATTGTGAATGAAACTGAATGTTTCATTTGGTTGGCCTAGATTTCAGTTTTCTTAAGACCCCCATCGTCATTTCTAACCCGCGTGTGGAAACTCTTCGAATAAGTCAAAAATGCGAGTGGATCTTGGTTCGGGGCTGCTGAGCTACAGTTTAGAAATCTAGGGCTACGTGGGATGGATTAAACGCATCTGCCATGACAGTTATCCCATCACGAAATTCTGAACTTTTCTTTCTCTAAAGTAACAGCAACTACATCTCGTATATCGCCCACCATATTTTTATAAAAGAAAATGCACCGAAAAATACCTCTAATTGAAGAGAAAACACTCTTGAGTGTTCTGTCTGGGGTGGAGTGAGTGACAAATGGATTTTTGCATAAGAACATGTAGACTGAGGGGCGCCTAGGTGGCTCAGTCGGTTAAGCGTCCGACTTCAGGTCAGGTGGTGATCTTGCAGTTCGTGGGTTCAAGCCCCGTGTCAGGCTCTGTGCTGACAGCTCAGAGCCTGGAGCCTGCTTTGAATTCTGTGCCTCCCTCTCTGTGTGCTCCTCCCCAGTTTTTGCTCTGTCTCTGTCTCTGTCTCTCTCTCTCAAAAATAAATACACATTAAAAAAAAACAAAATGTAGACTGAAACCTTTACCCTGTCCCTGGTTTCCTGTGAAACTCTGAACAAATCCCTGGCTTTACCCAAACCTCTGTTTCTGTAAGATGAGGCATACGTAACGCTACCCCTGAGGGGTTTTAGAAGATCACAATGACACTGGCAAATTGAAGGTGATCGAGGGAGGTAATACTATGAGTTATCTCATCTGATAGACGAATCCCCGACCGGCTTCCAGACCTGGTGTGAACCTACTTCTTCCCGAGCTCCCCACCCAGATGTAAAATCCATGTACCTTCCGTTCACCTAGGGTACGTCCTCCAAAAGCGGTTATCACTGCCACTCTTCAGACCTGACTTGCAAACTTCTTTTGACCAAAGACAAAAGCCTTGTGGGTGGATGCTTCTCTCTCTCTCTCTCTCTCTCTTTTTTTTTTTTTTGCCAGATTTGTGCCTATTTTATCTCTCACTTTGAAAATGGATAAGGAAGCCTTTTTTTTTTTTTTCCATACCCTGTAACTTACCGTCTCCAACGTTCCACCCACTACCAAGACCCCAAGGCCATGCTTTCACATTTCTGGGGGTTACACCTTCCGGTCAGAGCCCTGTTTCGTGGAGACTCTGGGACTCCGGATGGCCCGGATGGCATGGAAGACGAAGGCCAACACCCAGGTTTCTGCAATATGCCACTATCATCTTGCCACCATATGCCGCTACCAGCCGGCATCTGCTCACACGTGTTCTCCCCAATGAGCAACCATGTTGTTTATTTTTAGAGCCTCTACACAGCCTTAACAGGGAGAAAATTCCCTCGAATAACCCGTCAGCCAAGACAGGAAGCTACACTGGGTATAAACTGTTTGTCGCAAGATTAGCAAGTCAAACAAAATCCTCGTTCATATCTGACCTCTAACAAGAGATGCTGAAAGTTATCTTAAATAAAAATCTCCAAGACTATAGCCAGAGAAAGGCAGAATATGCAGAGGAAGTCGCTTGGCTAGCAACACTTTTTCTTCCAACTATGGCCCTGTGCACTTCTTGGGGGGATTTAACTCCTTTTCCTGGGAAACAGCACCTTCTTCAGGCCAGTGGATGTCGTGATGCCGGAAGAGGGACAGTTCTAGTAACAGAATCCCGATCTCTGAAATGCCCCAGGTCACCCAGGTCAGAGGAAGTCTGGGTGGGACCAAGGCAAGGTAACTACCGTCATTTGCAATTTCCAGCAAGTAGTCTTCAAGTATGCACCTTTGGTTTACTTTTACTCTGTTATAAAGCTGCTGTATTAAATCCTTTCTTTCCTTGTTTTCTTGCTTTGTTTTGTTTGTTTGTTTTTAAGCAAAGCCAAAAGACAGGGCGCTCTGGTGCTGATCCATTGTGCAGAAGTAAAGACCGGAAATCGGATGGAGACAGAAGTGATGCTAATAGTGATTATTTAGGTTAAAGAAAGCAATTCTTAGTTTTTAAAAAAATCAGTCTCAACAATCCATATGACTAAAGCGGCACTGTGGTAGGAATATGCTTTTTTAGATCAATGAGTCTTTGGATATGTATGAAATGCTGTATAAAGTGTGAACACCTATGAAATTCCGAGACATGAATTAGTTTTAGAGAAACAGTCCTTTTTAGAAGTATTTGGGCACTCACTGACTGATAATGGAGAACTATCACTCGTGTTACGCCGGAAGATAGAAATGGTCCTGAATTAAAATTTTGCATGGGTAGTTTGCAAAATGCCTAAAAGATTACGATATTAACTGTAAAAGTTGTAAGGTTCATTTTGCCTGTGAAGACACAGCTAAGGAATAAAGCTAAGGAACAAAACAAAAACAGAGTGTTTCCGGAGCGTCTTCTGGAGCTCCTGCCTAAGAATCACCTGGCTTTCTTGTCAAAGGGCAGGTTTCTGGAGCCCACCTTAAAACTACTGAATCCCGGGGGCACCCTGGGTGCCTCAGTTGGTTAAGCATCTGACTTCAGCTCAGGTCATGATCTCACAGTTCCTGAGTTGGAGCCCCGTGTCAGGCTCTGCACTGACAGCTCAGAGCCTGGAGCCTGCTTCAGATTCTTTGTCTCCCTCTCTCTCTGCTCCTCCCTTGCTCCCACTCTGTCTCTCTCTGTCTCTGAAAAATAAATCAACATTTAATTTTTTTAAAATAAATAAACAAAACTACTGAATCCCAGTGTGGATGGAGGGTAGGAGACAAAAGTTTGAGAAACCCCATTTATAACAAGCACTACTACTGACATAGGGAATTCTTTTGCATGGTAAAATTTGAGAAACTTTAGTATAGGTATTTGTGACTTATAGTTCAAAAAGGACTTTTACAAAATCTCACTTGACCTTGAGGCAATCCAACCAGGTGGATCAGGGAAAAATCAGCCTCTCATAAAGTCTACTTTTCTGGGTAAGTAGTGGTTTTTTGTAGTGTGAAAGTGTCTATGAAAGAGAAAGCATTTCTGGCTGCAAGATAGCTTAACCATAATTAAATGCCATTACAAATGCTCCAGTAAACTTGGTGTGGAATTAGTCCCCACCTCAATCCCTCCAAACCTGCCCCACAAACATCCTTCTCATGACTGCAGCAGTTTCGTACGTGGGTACTATCATTTCTTCCCAACACTTAACTACAATGCGTCTCTACTTCGTGAATTCCCAGCAAATGTTACTGAGAGAGGGCAGACTGCTGATCCCAAATGTATAATGACTCGGGGTCAGCTGGGCTCGAGACCCTCTTTCTAGAATCTGGATACTAGTGCCAAAGAATTAATGAAATTAAACATGACTCTCTACACATAGTTTCATTATTGATGGTGACATTTTGTGACAGTGGAATTCTCCCAAAATATGTCTCTCTCCAAGACAAATCAGCACCAGTCGCCTTATTCTATGGGGGAGAGAAGCACAAGTTTAGGGAGTAGGCAAAACAGTGGCGGTTCAGGGTTTAGTTCATACATCTGACCAGTAACTTCCATTAACCAGTGACTTCCATTAACATACTTCACTTTCATTAACATACTTAACTAGGGCTTTATACTCTGAGGGGGTACAAATGAGTGACTAAATTAGTATTCAAATCAACATGACTTTTTAACAGACTATTTATTTATGAGAGAGAGAGAGCACGCGTGTGTGAGCAGGGGAGAGACAGAGAAAGGGGGACAGAGGATCCAAAGTGGGCTCTATGCCAACAGCAGTGAGCCTGATGTGGGGCTCGAACTCACCAACTGTGAGATCATGACCCGAGCCAAAGCTGGATGCTCAACCAAGTGAGACACTCAGGTGCCCCAAAAGACGTATCTACAGGTGAGCACGGATCCTTCCGAGCTTGAGGAGGCGGCCAGAACTCAGCTCTGGTTCTTGTCCAGCTACTTCCAGTTAAAGCTAGGAATTCCGGCTCACTCCCATCTCTGTTTCTTCCCCACTAACATCCAGAGCCCCAAATGCCAAGGTATGAGCTTGGATGTGGGAACATTTCCCCTCAGAAAGCCCAAACAGACCTCTGAAGGGGCAGCTCTTTTTACCAAATCGCCTAACTTCTGGGGAAAAAAAAAAAAAGTCCTCAGTCTGTGATTTTTTTTTTTTTTTTTTTTGTCCTTCTAAAGTAGACTCTGAATATGTCATCCACTCTTTTGGGTGCTTTCTCAGCCAGCAACTTACTTCTAAGCCTTTATCATAAAGCAGGGAGCAACAACTTCAGTGGTATTGTCATTAAGACGTCAAAGCAGAAGTGAAAATGAGATTAAGCCAATGGATGGAAAAATAAATGACCAAATAAGAACCAAACTCCCAAGTGGAACCACTGTTCCACTGCCGAATCTGGTCTAGAGAGAATAATCTCTGATCGATCTGGTCTAAAAACAGCACTGAATTACCAATACTGAAATGAGTCCAAGACTCAAAAATTAAATTATATTTTCCCAAAAATTCCCATTGACGTTTTGAAAACCATAAATGTTTTAGTGCGCTTAAAAGACACCAAAAAGTGCTTCCATCTAGATTTGCAAAGGCCGCTGGACTTGTGGTCTTTCTCAAAACCAAACTCTGCA